GCTCCAGCTCTGAGGCCCGGCTCCAGCTCTGAGGCTGCGGCTGGCTGAAAGCAGGTATCTGGGTTTGTTTAGCTTCTATAATTGAAACATTGTTGCCATCACTGCCACTCTAAGCTCTGAGGCCCGGCTGGCTGAAAGCAGGTATCTGGAGCTTGTTTAGCTTCTATAATTGCAACTTTGTTGCTTAGAGTGTAGCTTAGAGCAGGGCGAGGCAGGCGGGGAACCTTGGCTTCCTCCGTCACTGGAGCAAGCAAGCCTCCTGTTCGCTTCAGCTGCATGGCTGCCGGCCGCCATCTTGGTTGGCAGTTAATTTGCATATCCTGCTGATTAGTCAATGGGAAGCGTAGCGGAGGTATGGTTAATTACCATGTTTGTCTATTATTAGATAGGATATTTAAATGCCATTTAACAAAGAAAAATCAACCAAAAAAATGAGTTCGCGTCGCCATCACTGCTCTAGGTTCAAATGTTGTTCCAAATGGCAAGATTTCATTCCTTTCTATGGCTAATGTTACACTGTATATATGTATCACAGGTTCTTTATCTACTCATCTATGGATGGACACCTGGGTTGCTTCCATTGTATGATACACATTTAATAAGCTCACCTACCTGTGGTCCCACTTGTTTATTGAGTGCTGCTTAATGTCATGCTGTGTTCAGAATTACCAAGACAGATGTGATCCCTGATACCTAGAAAGTTATATGTAAAACATACCTAAATAATTAATTTTGCTTGTGGAATTCATAAAAGAACATTAGTAGTTAAGCAGCCAGTGTGTATGTGTGTGTGTGTGTGTGTGTGTGTGTGTGTATGATTTTATTATTTGTTCTGAATAATAAAGCATCACAAATACATTCCTTGTTCTCCAGTGGCATATATTAAATTCTAATTCTAATGGAAGTTGACATATAATTTTACACTTTTTTTTCAAATTATGAAAATAATAAAATTACTGGAAATTTGGAAATTAAGGAGAGCAATCATTCTGATCTCACCTATTTCTAGATAACTATTTATTTTCTCTTAGGCTTGTTGTGAATTTTTAGTTTTAATACACTTACGCTATTGTGTTCTGATCATTTATTTTATTCCCCTTTTTATTGAATTTATATTATACAGGTTTCAGCACTTGTATTGTGCGATTATACATCATCTGTACTTGTATTGTGCGATTATACATCATCTGTACTTGTATTGTGTGATCGCTACCCCAAGTCAAGTCTCCATCCATCACCATTCACCCCCCCTCTCCCACTCTCCCCCTGGTGATCACCACACTGTTGTTTGTGTCCATGAGTTCTTTCATTTCTATCCCCTGAATATGTCCCCTCCCCCTCCCCCATAGCTGTCAGCCTGCTCTCTGAGTCATCTCTATTTCACTTGTTAGTTCATTTTGTTCATTAGATTCCACATAGGAGTGAAATCATATGGTATTTGTCTTTCTCTGACTTGCTTATTTCACTTAGCATAATCATCTCCAGGTCTATCCATGCTGTCCCAAAGGGTAAGAGATCCTTCTTTTTTATAGCCGAGTAGTATTCCATTGACTGTATTCCTTATGCTGTATATTATATTCCCGTGACTGATCCCTGTGTGGTCCCCAGACCCAACATTTTAAAAAATGTGTTTTTATTGATTTCAGATTGAGAGAGAGGGAGAGAGGGAGAGAGGGAGAGGGAGAGGGAGAGGGAGAGGGAGAGGGAGAGAGAGAGAGAGAGAGAGAGAGAGAGAGAGAGAGATGATGATGATGATGATGAGAGAGGATCATTGACCAGCTGCCTCCTGCATGCCCCCCTACTGGGGATTGAGCCCACAACCTGGGCATGTGCCCTGACTGAGAATCGAACCATGACCTCCTGGTTCACGAGTTGACATTCAACCATTGAGCCACAATGGCCAGGCACGGGTTCAATTCTTGGTCAAAAGTGCGTGCCTGGGTTGCGCGTTCGAGGTGCATGCTGGAGGTAACCAATGGATGTGTTTCTTTTACATTGATGTCCCTCTTCCCTCTCCCTCTCTCTCTCCCTCTCCTCTCCCTCTCCCTCTCCCTCCCTTCCACTCTCTCTAAAAATCAATGGAAAATTATCCTCAAATGAGGATTACCAAAAAAAGGGATATAGGTCTTAAGATATATGTCTTTATTATGGACCAATGTTACTCTTGCATCCTTTCCCCACCTTGCCACCCCCATTTTCCAACCTGCCACATACCTACATACATGCACGCTTTGCATGCACACACACAAGCACTAAAACCCATTCAGTTATAGAATGAAAAATGTTTTCACAAAGTTCTTCCTCTAGGAAAGAGACCTTTTTTTCACAATCACATAAGGCAATACAAGCCTTTGGCCTTTCCTTTCTCAGAGTCTAAATAGCTTTAGA